TTACTTGTCCCTTCCATTTTCCTCAGATTCTAAGAGGGGCTTTCTTCTGGTTGAGATGATTCGGATACATCCCAAGGGTTTAGTCTTTGTTTACGCAGTTTTTTTCTTCTCATTCACAAGATCCTTTGAAAGTTCGCTGTTTTCTGTTTTATTCGATATAAAAACGATCTTATCCTTCAGAATGAATCCTTCACTGAGCAGCGCACTATTTATCAAACATATCAATTCAAACTGTGCCCATTTAGTCAACAGAGACACTGAATTGAAGACATAAAAGATTGTTTGCGGAAGTGGAAAAAGTTGACTTCGGAAGCACTTCCAAGTCGACGATTTTCAATCGGTTTTGAGCTCTTGTATAGTTTATTTTAAAGGCATTAAGAGCGTCAATGTGTTGCGTTCGTTTTACAGTGTTGAGTGGATAGAGGAAGCTTGAGACTCGAGAAAAATAGAGCAAAAAAATTGTCGAAATGCAAAATGAATTATACATTTAAGATGTCCACAATGCCTTATGTTTGCACAAAAATACTTATGTCCAAACATGTGAATCAGTTCGTGAAATCTTTTCATAATTGTGTTCGTTCGATTCAAGATCCTTGTAATCTGATTATTCAAGCCACCACTACCACTATTTACGAACTGCTAGGTGTTTAGAATAAATTGAACAGAATGCTTATTCGAAGATATTCTTTACAGACGGTCAGGTCACCATTTTCGTTTCATTTAACAGTTGTAATCTTATATTGCATTTGATCTATGATTTGTTGTTTTGGATCGAATGCTCACGAATCACATCACTCTAAATATCAATCTCCAAGCTGCACATACTTCAGAAATTTGGCATTAGCAAATGTCTTCATTAATTTCAGCTTGATTCGAGGCAACGAAGTGAATCGCTCGCTTCGGTCGTACTCGATCAACTGAGGAATTCCGACGAACCAGCACCCATTTGGAGGCGACGAACCTCTGCAACTCAACTCACGAACGATGAGGTAAGGAGGAGCAGTCGTCAGGTGTCTCNTTTCATCGTGAAACAACTTTTGTTGAATGCGACGAATTATCGTTTGATACTTGAAAGCTATCAATGTCTGAAGTGCTACGCGAGAAAATTGCAAGAGATATTCGACTCGAAGACGATGGGTACTTGAGAATTAGGTGTATTTTGGTAATAGAGAAGGTTTGAGTATGAGAACGCATCTTGAATTGTTTGGAGAGGAATTTATGCATTCTTTTGGAACGAAGTATGTATCATAAGCGCATTTTTATACTTTCAAATGAAATAAATTGGATTCATTTATCTTAAGAAGTTGATTGCTTGAGTTGATAGGTTAGTTTACACTCAACAAGTTTTCCTACAACAATATCGTGCGAAGACTGGAGAAGTATATTTATTTACTGTAAGTGCCTTAGTTTTGAGGAGTATTTGTTTAGTTTGCTGTGAAGGTGCTTAGTAAACGTACGTACTTGATTAAATGAGGCCAATTTTGCAAAATTGAATGGGAACGTTGACAAAAAGTAATGCAGTAATCATGATGCAATGAATACATTTCAGTGAAATATTTGAGGAAATGTCGCTGAAACATTCAAAGAGTTCAATTGCAGCAGTATTTTGCTAAATCAATTAGATTCTCAATAAGGAGTGGTGTGGTTATTGATGCAAAAAATTCTCGATAAACAGTGTAATTTCTCACAAGCGTGCATTTGAAGACTCCAAGATTATTCTGACTGAAAATTTTCGGTACCGTTAAAAAATTCCAAGATCACCTACAATTAGTCAGTGAGAGTAATTAAGCAATTGGTTATGTGAGTAGAGGACAGCACCTCCAGAAAGTTTCACGAGCACCTCAAGATTACGTTAAGCGAGAGAAAGTCTTTGCAATTAGGAAAAATCGTGTTCAATCTCTCAATCGAAAAAGAATTCAGCTAATATGCTCTTGTTCATGCCATTTGATCTGAAGCGAAACAATCGAAGAAGTTTTTGTTAATTGCAATATCTGTAAGGCAATAAATTCATATTTATTACACTTTTGACTGTCTGTCTGTTAAGATTAGTGCCTAGCATACAACAACAACAGCTCATGTTCTTTAATTTCAATGGCCCGGGATATTCCGCAGGATCAGATTCCACGTTGACGACCAGATAATCTTATTACACTTATTAAGCTTGCATCTCCTCGGCTGGTCAACATCAGTCAGTATCAGTCTTTCCAGTAGTTCTGTGTGTGTATCAGTTGGTCGTGATCCTGTATGATTCTGCAAACTTATTCAATTTCTCATTGTTTTTCCTTACGATACGAATCAATCAACGAGCGATTGCATGAGAAATGAGAATTTTGAAAGTGAGTCAATGAGTTTGGATTTTGGATCCTTCTTGTTCGGATTATCAGGAACATCCAGTTTTCAGCTTGAGTTCTCGCAAAAGCTCGAGCTCTTGTTCTTGCAGCAACAATATTGAAATTTGTTGAACCTGATTAGTTGGATGCGTTTGATCGTCTGAGTGATTGATGTATCTGAGATAATGAGTGTTGTGTTTGCGATAATTGGGTCCGTATTTGCAGGATAGTAAGAAGCATCTGGTCCTTCCGGATCGATCCGTTCTCGAAGAGTACGTGAATCGACGAGCAAACAAAAATCGTTTCGAGCGCCTACACAGTGAACCACCAATTGTGGAATCTGAAGAGAGTCTACGCTGTTCACCATGCCTTTCGACGGTCTCCGAGCTTGTGCCTGCCTCAGCTGGTTCGTTCTTTCATTTTCTTAAAATTGTTTTGTGCTGGTGACATTCCTAGTTCATTAGCACTGAAACATGCGATCTCGAGCCAATACCATCGCTAGCTATCCAATGCCACTATCGGTGATGTCGCTGCTCAACATGAGATTTTATTTCTAATCATCACGTATCGAAAAATGATCTCGAAATATCACTATGCTCTTTCATTCTTTCATGCAATACAATGCCACAATTTGGCTTTTGGCTTTGAGTTGAAAGTTAAGTCAGACTAAAACAAACAAATTTTAAGCTGTTTGCTTACAATTTCAGTACGTGTCTATGAGTCAACCAGAAATCTGCCCCTGATCACGGCACCGAATCGATCACGATTGAACAGTGCTGAGCCCGCATCGAAAACGCCACCTGAACCGCCGAAACGTGACAACAGCAAAATGCTTGACCTACTCTCGTATGGTGAACAAATGCTAGCGGCCAGTTATCAAGGACTGAAACCGAGTCAATTGAACAGGTTNGAGATCGTTTGAAGTGATCGTTTCTGGTTCAATTTTGCTTCGAAATTTCATTTTGATGATCGCAGATTCAGGAGTCAACGTGCCCAGTCTCTAACGATCAAGCCAACGTTCGTATTCGATGTGCCCCGATCACCATTCGAAGAACGAATGCAGAAACAGGCTCACAGTCTTAGAAATTCGTCAAACGCTTCAGCGAATTCTCAACTATCCGAAAGCGACGTTCAGATTGTAGACGTCAGTTTTTTTTCTGGTCCTCTTTGGCTCCATAAAATTGAGTTTCGTTATGTTCATGAAAAATATCAAGCCCAAGAAGAAGTCGGACGTAAAAGCAGCGTTCAGCCTTATTAGATGATCCATATCACAAATTTGTCTCTTAAAAATCCTACTAAAGTTTAAAACAATTGACAACAATATGATCAGCGTACACGATAGATCAGTGTGATTTGAAATTGAATTAATTCAACAGAATAGTTTGACAACAAATGCGGATGAACCTTGCTTGTTCAATGGGAATTGTTGTAATGCTGTGATGTGGCAAAATAATCGTGAAAAGCAAAAGCATTATTCTGTTTGGATGATGAAACAAGCAAATATTTGTTCAATTCGAGAGAAATGCTGCATAAAAAGGGCGAAATTGATGAAATGAAACGGATTAACGCGTTCTCAATGAGATTGATTTGATATTGCGAGTATTTTCAGCGCTGATATATTGCTATTGAGTATTTTTGCCATGCTCATCTCATAATCATTGTTCTTGTTGCTGTTGTATAGGTGCTGAGTGAATTATTGAGTGATATCGAGTGAATTATCGTGTGTTGTTTCAACTGGACTATGATCAATGACTGATATCGTCAGTCTTATGATCTTACAACTTCAACTTAAGCAATATCTATCGGCTCTATCCCTTCACACACGCTCATTGATAACTGAATCAAATTCGAGAAGTGAGTAAGGCTTACTGGTTCTAACATATGCTCTAATTGCTGCTGACAGAGTAAATAGCAATTTGTGGTAGTTTCGCAGTAGAGCTTATCTGATATTCTTTCTTACATCTTTTATTGTTTATTCAAAATCTTGTGGTTTAGTCAACTATCAGCTGTTTCGACAGCACATAATTTTATGGTAAATTTATCGCCGACTTTCATTTCGAATAGCTTTTCATAAAGGAAACGAGAACAACTCGATCGTGTATCGTTGTTCAAGCTTGATTTTGTTAACAAATCCTTATGAATCATTTCGAATTATTGAATAGATCTATAATAGATCGTTTCTCGAATGACCAATTAAATGTTTCTGATCCGATCATCCACATAGTAAAATGTGGATGTAAAATGAGAATCTTCAATTACATCGCATTTGCTGTGAACGTTTTGAGGTTTCGTACAATTAAGCGAGAAATTTCATTTGCAGAAGATCGTTAGAAATAAATGCATTCGCCTAGTTTATTATAGTCGCCTAGTTTATTCTTCCACGAATTGCATATTTCCGCTGTGGTCGAGTCATTTAAACAGCTGTGATGTATCTGACGGCAGTTTTTTGACTTCGTTTTAAGATTTTCGAGATGAACGACGAGTGCATATGTGCTTCAGCATTGCCTCTTCGTCACGTTGCTCTCCCTGGAGGAGTCGTTCGACCGTAGTTTGCTTGAAGAATTTTTGCCATTATTAACTGTAGTCGCGCGTCTTATTAATGCTCATTCTTATTAAAGCATCCTTAGTTCTCATTGCTCATAGCGAGGGAGGTTCTACCTTAGTAATCATTCCATTTTTCGATCATTTTGTTTCAGAGTCCTATTCTAGAATCTGCATCTTA